GACTATATATTTGTAGACTTCCTTCCGCGAATTTTCCGAGTTTTCCCAATGAATTTTCCGAGTTTTCCCAATGAATTTTCCGAGTTTTCCCAATGAATTTTCCGAGTTTTCCCAAACAATTTTCCGAGTTTTCCCGAACAAAAAAATGATATCAAAATTAATAAAATTCAAGACAATAATTATTAAGAAATATTATTTTTATTTATTTCCTTTCTTAAATATTGGAAAACAATGTATTTCATCGTCTTCACATCCTTTCTCTTTAACAATAATCATATCATCAGAATATTTATGAAATGAATGAAATTTTGAAATTCCAGGAATTGCTTCCATTTTCGACCATTCGTTTTTGAGTTGCGATTCTATTTGAAGAATTTCATCTACTGGAACGTAAGTTGATTTTATTTCTTTAACACATTCAAGCATGCATCTGTCAAATTCTTGAGCAGAGTAAATCTTATATTTTTGGGATAATATTCTTTGTCTAACGGCACGTTTTGCAATACCACCAACACCATCTACTGGTCCTTTGCCATGTCCAGATGCAAAGAAATTCCAAGATATGCTTATTCCGAGTAATTTTTCTGCTTGTGCAACTGTGGACATTATCCATCTATTCTTAAACTGTCCCGGACATCCATCAGAAAATATTTTTGCAGTTTTTAAATTTGGAATTTTCATCTTCAAATCTGATATTATTTTCTTGAGACAAAGAAGAACACAATATTTACTCTGTCTTGTATCATCGGTTACAAGAACTTTTGATGGTTTTTCTTTTTAAGAAATGAAGGGTCTTCAACCTTCTTTTTATGATATCTTGCAAGGCTAGCCTTTCTTTTATTTTCCATATACTCATTCCATTTTAAAGGATCTCCCTTTAGTTTTTCAATAAATTTTTGTTGATATCTGTAATCATCAATTAAAAAGTTAAGAAATAATTTGAAATGATAATTAAACATTAACTTACGCTGCCATAATAATAAAAGTAACTTATGGTAGTAATATCTGTTTTAACTATTATAAATAATGAATTAGTTTATTTTGAATTGAATTCAATATGTTGAC